CGTTCGTCGACGGGCTTTGATTATAATCACAATTAGCGGCATATATTTTTCCTCGGTACGTCGATCGATCGCGCCGAAAGAGTTGCAGTTACCGTTGCGCCAGCGTTGCGCCACGTTACAACATATCGAAAATTTACATAGGCGTTTTACGAAGCGTTTTTACGTCGCGAGGGGGAGGACGTAATCGCTTTACGTAATTGTCGCGAATCGACAATCTGGGAAACCTGAGAGGATTCCCTGAAACAAATCGCTCGAAATCCATTCCGAGATCGAGGTGAAATAATTCTCGCTTTTTCTGCAAATGCAACGAGCGCCGCTGTCGGTCTTTCCCTCGGCGCGGTACACCTCGGTTCGATTGACAACTAAACGGATTACGACGGTGCGACGTGGCGCGGAGCGGCGCGGCGCGGCGCGGCGCGGTGCGGCGCGGTGCGGCGCGGCGCTTGGCAAGGAGCAGACTCCGAGTGGTCGATGGACATCGGCGGCGGGTGTTGGACGTCGGCGAACCTGTAAATGCGACAGCACAAATACCTCGTAGTAGAACGTGGACGTGGCGACTCTCGGACCAGCGTGGCGAGTGAATGGAGTCCGTTTTCCTCTCCGCTCTCGTCGTCTCTCGACGGTGCCCCTCTTCGAGTTTTACGCTGGTGTTCCCCTACTACTGCGTCGTGTTCCCGGTACATCCGTCTTCCTTGTGCCTCGCTCACCCGAGAGCCGGCTTGCTGCATTCACGTGCATCACGCGTGTATTGTACCACGTTGTTGCCACGATGCCGGCAACGCGCGTACGTATAAAAGTACGTACGATATAATTGTAGGTGAGCGACTCCGTTTGACGCGATGGCCGATTACCGTGTAAAAGAATTTCACGCTGTGTTCAGAGCTTAATTATTTAATAATAATAATAATAATAATAATAATAATATATTTATTGTGCATCGACAAATCTATATTATAATAGGACTAGAATCTTGACGGACGTAAGAATGTAGATACGGTGAGGCATCAGCGAAAGCATTGCTGTAAAATCAACTGGGCAATAAATTTTGAAACTAAAAGAAGACGGAATGATAAAATGCATAATCACAATTCAGAATAATTCAGAGAATTATGCACATCAGATTACAAAGCATTGTTATATTATACTCGTATGGAAAAAAATCGTGAAAGATTACAAAATACACTATTTAAAAGAAGAGAAAGAAAAAAATCGAGAAAAAAAATGAAAATTAAGAAGATAGATCCGGATGAAGAGAAAGGAATTGCGACGCTATGATCTGACGAAGGCGGATGTCAATTTGTCTCGACTGGATTACACCGCTTCGCATTCCGTTATGATGCCAAGTTGTGATAAGAATACTAACGCGCGTAGATCCATAATGCGGATAACAAAAAAAAAAAAAGCTAATTTGTAGTTTAACATCACTGCCAAATTATATTCTTTGACGAGAAAGCTATTTCGAAGACGTGAAAATTATAGAAATTACAATGGCGGCGCGTTTCAAGATCGTAAATAATGACACGTCACACGCGCATTCCCCTCGCTAATTCGCCAAATGAGGACCGCGATACTATCTATAATTCGAGTGTATGCGTGAAAAATTATTGGTATCACGATGACTAGTGCGTCGTGCTGTAACGCATTCTCGAATCGTATTTGCCTTCACTCACTACAAATAAAACTATGAATAAGACGGGCGTGGGTGGTGGACCTACGCACGTTGCGTGACCAACTATTTTCCACATGACTATACGACGCACAAAACGTGCCGTGTTGTTCCGCTACATTGAGCAAAATTTCAATCTTGCAAATTACAACGCGATGTTCTTGAAATGTTAATGTATCAATGCTGCAATCTCACTGGAATTTCGCAATTTCATGTCCTCCACGGGGCCCGCAATATTGTCGATATTGACAAGATTATTAATAACGTTGCCGCGACGTAGTAGTATTATTATATATTCAAGAATTTGAACGAGAGAGATAACAAAATCGAATCGCGAATAAAATTCTCGTTAATGATAGAAGACCTATACGCATAAAGCTGATCGGCGACATAATAAAAAAAAAATAACAGATCGATCGAATAATTTTCGAGATTTGATTTACAAGTAAGATGAAACATTCCTCATTGATTGAGTTCTCGCAATTTTCTTGTGCCGCGGAATGCAAATCTCCGACGCAGTTTGTCAGTTTCTTCTCTTACGAGACGCGCACGGAGAGAACGGCCGGGCCGAATTCAGCGATTCGAAGACGTCTGCGAAGAGTCGCCGTTTTCGTGGGTCATTCGATCGCGAAGGTGCGATCGAATCTTCTGGTCCCGCGTGCCACGGCGTACGGGTCTTGTTAAGGGCGACAGCGTGACCCTCTTTATACGCCATAAATCAATTATTGTTAAGAGAAATCTACGCCTGATCAAATCACGTTACTTAACCCGAGAGTCACGGCAGGCGAGACGCTCCAAATTTTTTGTTTTGCAGCCACTTAACCGTCCGTGGGATCGCGCGGCCAGCCTCACTCCCGTCGACGCGGCAAATTATGATTCCTCCTCTAGCATTAGCGTTTCCTCCGGGAGGCACTCCCGGGAATCCGTTATGTTATTTACACATTATTCATTTTCAAGACGTTACACGATTTCACGGCATTATAATTACACAATTTACGAAGTCAGATGCATCAGAGCGGATAAGTGAAGTTTGAATAATTAATTTCGATTCCAGAGATACAGGAAACGCTGAAAGCAAAAGTGAAGTATCTTAAATCCATTTCTATCCACTTCTATTTATTACTTTATTACTCCCGCGATTTGTTTTAAAATTGTAATTTATTTTCAAGAAACAAGTCGTTGTTCAACGAGATAACGCGTTTCCTGCTCGCGCTCCTCTTTTCTCTCTCCTCTGTAGTTCTTATGTTCTGGTTGCGCTTCACATCTAAGTTTCTGTATAATAAAACGCAGCGTTTGCCATGTCGGATGTCGGCATTGTAAACAACAGGAATATTGCCTGTAGGCACACAACTGGTTGACCACCGACTTTGTTAGAGCTTGAGAGTTTATCTTTCTTTGAAGATGGTCTTAATAACGAAGAAGTACGTTTTCTTGTGAGAAAACATACTCTTCTCGGATATCTGCCATCTATTTTTCTCGGATATCTGCCGTCTATTTTTCTCGGATATCTGTCGTCTATTGGCTGATTTTGCGTATATTTTTTTATAGCGTTGTTATGAACACTGTCGATTCGAGCACCCCCCCAGTTTATACGATAATTCGTAAATCACACGCACATTATCGCGTGAGCGAGTGAACGAACGAGCGCTATACACCATCGCGTTATAAATATTTTCTAAAGATATTGTCACGGAACGTCATGACCCCGGTATACGCGATGGACAAAGGTTATAAAAATATATATATATATATATATATATATATATATATTTTGTCGTGGTTTATAAAAACATGCGTGAAAAAAATAAGTGTGTACGTGATGCGCTTGCCCGAAACTAGCGTATCGCGTGTGCAAGCCCGGCGTTTAATTGATTTGCCACGCCGGCGGATCTATTCTGGTGTAATTTCTCGTTTTAAAAATCGCAACGAGACGAGAATATTCGTCGAGCGAGAGAAATTCCGAGTAAACAGGCTTGATTAAATCCCGCGAGACCCTCGAGCGGGGAGCATCGATGTTCGTTATTCGACAAGCGCTTCCTTCGCGAAATATTTATCATCTGCGAATCCCGACGATCGGAGAACCGCCCAACTTGCCGAACGTATTTATTCAGTCGTATTTATTGAGCTCGATTTTTCTCGAGGAGATATTATCTTGGCCGTTCCTCCTCCGCGTATCGTATTACCACGATTGCACGAGGAGACAGAGTGTACAAAATTTGAAATGAGAGAATTTTACAGGTTATTCCCGCAATTTTGAAACGTGCAAAATTTTTAGAACTCTTTAAGAGGACAGACAGATTTCTCTTATCGACAGACCCAATCTTATTTGTATATGAGGATTGGAAAATAATAAAAATAAATTTTGCTTGATTATTTGCGAGAGTTAAAGCGTTATCGTGTAAAAATATTATGCACTTTCGCATGAGTTACGAATTTCGAGTCGATAAGACAAAATCATGCCAAATATCCTCAAGATGACATCGCGCAAACAGCACTACTTTCCCAGTACGTTTGCGACCTGTACGCTTGCCTCATCATCCGATCATATAATTAACTCCTTAACGAGGTATATTTTTTTATACTGCATTCTCTTTACGCGCAAGGGCACTGTTCGTTGAATCGACACATACCCCATTCACTTATCACGATAATTTATCTTTGCGAAACGTTCTTTTTTTTCATATAATAACCATAACGAACGTGACATACGCTTGGCGCCGGCGATCGCCATGCATTGTAAATAACAACCATTTATTGATGACTGTGTAAGCGTCACTTGTGTGAAAGTTACCATCATCATTTTTTCAAGGTACCTTTGTCATATGGCACGTCATCCTGTTATCCCTTAACGATAACGAATATTGATTAATATCCATCAAGATGTTTTATTTCTTTCCATTAATTCCATTAAATGAACCTACAGTTTAACGAAAATTTTCTCTTTGAGAAGCGACGTTAAATAATTGATGTGACATTATGAGCACGGAAAGGAAAGTTTTGTCGAAGTATCTAATAAGAGCTTGATGCAAATCCGAAAATAATTTACTTGAGCCATCAAACTAATTATGTAGGACGTTCAAACTGACACAAGCGAAAGTAATCAAAAATTCTTACGGTATTGTTATCACGCTTAATTTTTCGTGTCACGAATTTTCATATCAGGCGACTCATCATATCGCGAGGAGTTGAGCATCTTACGTAATTATTCCGACGACTCGGGAGAACTATTTTTAGATCTAGTATTTGGCCCAATTTCGAGTACTTGAAGCGAAAGCTCAAGTTCCTTCCGCGGGAGCACTCATAAAGTGTAATTTTCCGCTCTTGTACGTTCCAGGACGACATCGGACTTGTTCGACATCGCCGAGGAGGCAGGAGCGCCGAGATGGTGAGAAGAGCGTACTGATCGACGTCACGATTTTCGAGATCGGCTCGCGAATCAAATCGGCGCGTACGTTGGGTACACTTAATGGAGCCGTCTGGCGCGATGACCCGCTGGTGGTGTCGATCTTCCAGCAGAGTCGGTTGACACGCCGCATGTACGTGTGCGGTCCCTCCGTCTCGCGGTCTACGCCTACGAGGTGATCTCCCGCGCGATCCGCGCGCGCGTTCACGAGGGCAGGGGGGGGGGATCAAACGAGACCGACAACGGCGAAAGGACGACGAGGAGCGCGCGACACCGTGTCACGGGGACAAGCGTGTCGGGAAAAGAAAGAGGACCCGGGCGTTCCGTCTTCGAGCGATCGTCGTCGAACGCGTCCGTCGCATTGACGCCTGAACGTTCGCGAGACGAACAGGGAGAGAAACGAACGCGCCGAGGCGACGATCGTTTGAAGGCTCGAGAGGCTCGTCGTGTCCCCTGCGTCGACGACGAAGAGATGCGAGCGAGACGCGGCCCTTCCTCGCCCCTTTCGCGCCTCTGAATTCGCGAGTTGACAGAGAGTTCGCGGGTAGAGTACGATTTTTTTTTTCTCTCGTCGGGAAAGAAGTGCCGGTTTCTTGCGGTTGAAGATGAAGTCTTCGGCCGCGTGCAGACTTTGCGGTGCGACGTTCGACGAAGACGAATCGAGCATCGCGTCGACCTCTTTTCCGGAGGCTGACCACGCCATCCGCCACTGCCATTGTCTGTCGTCGTCGAGTCGCGAGTTTGAGAAAACCGATGGCGCGTCGTTCCCGTCGACGTCGGCGTCGACAACGTGCGATCTTTGCGAGCGTCTTCGCGGTCGAACTGGCGGATCTAACGCTTCGTCGGACGTGTCAGCCATATGGACGAGAGACAGCCACGCGGCTGATCACCAATCACCGAGACGAAAGCGCGATGAGAACGATTTATCGGCGTGCGACTCGGCGGAGCCGATCGTCGGGAGGCGCGACCGAACTTTGAGGTGCGACAGAACTCCGATCCGCGAGTCATCCGCGAGGTGTGCTTCGAGCGTGGTGCGGTGGATTTTTGCGGTCAGATTTTACAGCGACTTGAAATCGGCCGAATGGCGGAGACTCTTTTGGATCGTTCTCCTGATGCTTGCGGTACCCGACCTCGCAGCAGCGAAAGAGAACAAGACCGCCGACGATAAAGGAATAGGTAAATGGCGATTTCTTTTTTCTCTCTGTCCGCTTAATTGGCACGTCTACATTTACGCACGTTAAAAAAAAAAAAAAAATTAATAATTATGATGCTCATTAAGATGCATCATTTTTTACAAACTTAATACGCTATATTTAAATCGACATGTGTGATAAAAAATATCTTGCGTTTGTTGTGAAACATGCATACCGACGTCGCACAAATTGATTCACACGAAGAAGAAAATTAAAGTGCGCATTTAAAGTGTAGACCGCGACAGCTTGCCATCGCTATCTAGTCAAACTTCTATATTGTATTCCCGTAAAGCTTCACAAATCTTGAAAAGAGTGGAGCAACACGAAGTGCAAGCCCGTATTGTTAGATCATGTATAATGCAGCACAAAGTGGTAGGTCAGACGAAAGTTGTTCTCTTAAAACTTTAGGATTAATGCGCATATTTACTTCAAAAAAGAATTTCTGGATTTCGTTGGAAGTTATTAACTTTGATGACCGATTAGAGTAGAATTTTGTTATAGTAGACAAAAAAAAAGGAAACTCGGCTTTGGTCATCTTCGTCCAACTTCAATCTACATACGTCACTCTTGGATATTTATGCACAGAAGGCATTGATGCCTTTCGTTTGAAAATAATTACTTTCCAGTCAAATGTATGTTGCATATATTTGTAAATTACGATATTTTTTTAACGTGATTATTAGCTCTTAAACTGCGGATTTCAAAACAGTCAATTCATTGATTGTAAATTTTAGGATAACGACAAAGTTCAATATTCCTAAAAAACTTCTACGACGGTAAAAAGTTGTTATTAAAAATGTGATAATTATATGAGAATTCTTTTCAGATTTTTATATAATTTGGTGCAAAAATGTAATGATTTTCAGTCTCAAAGTTGCTAAGATGCCGAGGATTCAGATGAAAATTCATAATAAAAGCAAAAACTGTTATTTCAAAATTGTATTTATAATTATTTTCAAATTATATTTTATTATTTCTATAATTATGTCTATAATTATTTTCAAATTATATTTTATTATTTCATTTCAAATTTCAATATTGGATCCAATAATTATAAATGAATATACAAATGAATATGAAGCAATTATTCTCAAGCGAAAAGTCATGAGTAACACATATAAATATACATTACTTAAATGTTGAAATAATGCAAAGAGACATTACATTAGCATATACAAGTTTACAGCGACATAATAATTTGTATAAACAAAAATAATTTGTAATAAATAAAAAAGAAGACAATTTCAGCAATGCAATATAATATAAATTTTTCATGTCATATTCATAATGAATTAACAATGCAGACATGTATAAATAATTCAACATGAGAATTGAAAATCAATGTGTACTTTTGGTGTTTGTGAAGTTGGCACTTTAGTTTTAAAAAGTGAAAATTTCATTAGCAGTTTTATTTGCACTCGCAATAGTTTTTAATAGGTTTTAGAAATAATCCCATTGATTTAGTAAAAAAGAAAAAAATAAAAAATAAAAATTTGAAAAAATGGGGTTCTATCATCCTGTAGCCAAGTTTTGAAAAAAAAACTGATTTTGTTATAAAATTCCATGAGTTTCGTACATTTCTGTAACTTTTTTATAGATTTTTTTTTTTAACTAAATCGACGAAACTATTTTTAAATCTTATTTAAAACTATAGAACTGAAGATAGAAATTCAAAAAGGTAGTTATTTCAAAGGTAGTTATCTTCAAAGATAATTATTTTCGATATTTGAAAAATTGTGGTCAACAAAAACTTACTTTTTGTATTGTTTTGACGTTTGCAACATAGTGCAAAAGTTTTTTCACACACTTTGTTTTTACATTTTGCTAATCGGTTGCTAATTGACTCAAAAGTTTACAAGAAAATTTTTATAGTTTGACCGCGTTTAAGTGTGAGCAACTGACCTTTCGAGGAAAGTGATAATTCTTCAGCGATAACGAAAATTATCCGAGAGGAAAGTACAGGATGTTATTATGTGTACGAGATGTATTATATGTTCTGCGCCTACTCCAGGATGATTGACAAATTCGTTATCACAAGAGTTATCTTTTAAGCCGCTAGCAGTCCACAAAATATATCACTATGAACCAATTTAATTTGTTTTTACGGTGTTTACTCATTTGTGTCATTCATTTATCCGAAAATCGTTAAGCCGTTAGAAGTTAACCCATTCATTTTTTAAATGAATTTATTTGTAAAGTTATGCTAAATTTTTGTTAGGTTTCCATTCGAATATTAAAACCGTAATATGATAAAAAAATGAAAAAAAGCCTTTTAGCATCCGAATTCTCTAATTTGCGATTTCTTAAACCCTCTTATGTTGTACTGAGTTAAGTTGTTCTGATATTACGATAAAATGTTATCTACAACAATAGTAATAATTATGATAAAAAATAAAGTTGAAAAATATAATAAATGTTTATTTTTGTATCAATACGGCATACAAAAATTCTAATTTGCATTAACTTGACACAAGTCAGCGCAACGATTTTAAGGGCATTTTACTCTTGAACGTGGCTCTTTCGTGATTGTTCTCTGCGTCATTCGGAGCTTGATATTGTTACTCTGAGGAAAGCCGAAGGTTGTGCTAATTTGTGCTAAGCCAACACAACTCGGATAGTATCATACAGCAAATCCAAATTTCGGACGTAGAAACCGAAACGTGAAGGGCCGCTTCAAGAGTAAAGTGATTCATTTTGCTAATGAAATCGAGCAAAGATTCTGTTAACTTGTGTTAAATAAGACCCAATTCAGAAATGCATTATTATATTCGTCGGATTGCTACCTGAAATGATGAATATAAAATTTAAATATTAAGACCTGCGCTCAAAAGTAAAGTGTCTCTAATATCGAATGAAATCAAAGATTGTACTAATTTGTACTTAATACAACCTAATCGAGAAGGTTTAAAAGATCGAACAATGGGGGAATTAAAATATTATTTCTTCTTTCTCATTTTGTTTTATCATATTTTCATATTATGGTGTTAATATTTTAAATACGATGTAACCTAGGGCAATTTAACATAATACTCAAAATTAATTCTGAAAGTGGGGGGGGGGGTTTCTATTTTCTAACGAGCAAATTTTCAATGGTGCTCATTAAGTACCAATGTTATATTGCGCGATCGTAAAACTAGTTCTTATAGAAATTTGTCGTTTAAGTTAAGACAATCGATTAACGATCTGACATGGTTCGATGTTTTCTTAAGTGTGTCGCGTAAAAATGATAAATGCAAGAGATTGTTAATGGAGACGCTTTCTA